TGACGCGGGGCTCGAACTCACGGACCGCGAGATCGTGACCTGGCTGAAGTCGGACGCTTAACCGACCGCACCACCCAGGCGCCCCAGGTTCAGGAGCATTTAAAGCCAAAATTATAAATATCTTTTTAATGTTTATTTGGAGGGGGGGGGAGGGGGGGGGGGGGGGGAGAGAGAGAGAATCCCAAGCAGGCACCTCTCTGTCAGCATAGAGCCTGACACAGGGCTTGAACTCATGAACCGTGAAATCATGATTGGACCCCAAATCAAGAGTTGGACGCTCATCAGACTGAGCTCCCCAGGTACTCCCCAAAACTATTAGTAAAGTAATTAATTTTTAAAAGGGGCACCTGGGGGGCTCAAGTTGGTTGAGAGTCTGACTCTTGATTTCGGCTCAAGTCATGATCCCAGCGCCGTGGGATCGAGCCTGCTTGAGGTTCTCTCTCTCTCTCTCTCTCTCTCTCTCTCTCTCTCTCTCTCTCCCGCTCTGCTCCTCTCCCCCACCCCCCATAAAACAAACAAACAAATAAATAACATATTTTGTGATCCAAAACATGTAGATATATATGACAACTACAAAATAAAGTACAGGGTGAAGAAACTGAGCCTGTATCATTGCAACTTTTATCAGTTTCCATGCCGTGGTGCACTATCAACCGTAAGTAGACTGTGAAAAGTTAATAATTTTCACTTTTTACCTCTGTTATTGGGGGATCTCATGTAGTTAACCCAAACTCCCAGTAACCGATACCTTGTTAGGAGCCTTACGTGTTAAATTCTTAGAAGATACCCAACACTCTGGATTTCACTGGTTTGTATGAGAATGTTCACCCTGGCTAAAAACTATGTGAAACTTGTGTACCTGCAATTTCTCTCTGACTCTGACCCAAACGGGAGATAACAGCCATTCGTTTTGAACAGCCCATTCATTTTGAGAAGCCACTTGATAGAAGTTGACGGATCTGATCCTTGACATCTGTTCTCCTGGTTAGGCCTCGGCTGATTACAAAAATTGAATGCAAAATACGTTCCACTGTTTCTCACAATACTTGTGATTGTTCTCAGACCATTCTGACCTCTGCGCTGTTTGATATTAGGTGATTAAATATTGCCACGGAAACTTTACCCTGAACAGGCATCCAGCAGGTCACACAGGGTCATCATACGTCTCATGGGCAGAGGTGGTCTTTTCAGAGCTTGGTTTTTTTAGGCGGGGGTGAGAACTTCTAATGAGGGAAACCGTGCACACCTGGGTGAACCGAGAAGGGGCTGACAGGTGGCAGGACGAGGGCAGGTATCACATGGCCTGCCACCTTTGCTCCACCACGGGATTCTCATAATTTTCTCAGCATCCATAAACAATGGTTGTCTCTGATGCTTCTAGAAGACCTACTCGGGGACGGAACGACCAGACTCACCTCTCCGCTAATTAATATACCTCGCAAAATGTACCAACTAGATTCACCTTTGCTAGACCGTGTAGTTTGTTTATCCCTTCTCTTTTTCCCTCTTAATATTTATTTATCTATGTATTTATTCATCCACCTTTTATGAAGTATGATTGACAAATAAAAATTGTATGTCTTTGGGGCGCCTGGGTGGCGCAGTCGGTTAAGCGTCCGACTTCAGCTCAGGTCACGATCTCGCGGTCCGGGAGTTCGAGCCCCGCGTCGGGCTCTGGGCTGACGGCTCGGAGCCCGGAGCCTGTTTCCGATTCTGTGTCTCCCTCTCTCTCTGCCCCTCCCCCGTTCATGCTCTGTCTCTCTCTGTCCCAAAAATAAATAAACGTTGAAAAAAAAATAAAAAAAAATTGTATGTCTTTAAGGTGTACAATGTGATTTCATATGCGTGTATATTGTGAAATGATTACGAAAATCAAGCTAATTAACACATCCATCAGCTCCCTTGGTTACCGTTTTGGGGTGTAATCTCTTAGCAAATTTCAAGCATAACAATACAGTGTTATTAACTATACTTACCGTGCTGTGCCTTAGATCCCTAGAACTTACTCATTTACAACCGGAGGTTTGTACCCTTTGACCAATGTTCCCATTTGCCCCAGCCCCCAGCCCCCAGCCCCGGTAACCACCACTCTGCTCCTCTGAATGTGACCTTTCCAGATTTCACATATAAGTGAGATCATGCAAGTCTTTCTGTGTTCCTGACCCATTCTGGATATATTGTGTATATTCTAACAGATACACACAAATGTATCTTATTCCAATGTCACTTCCAATCAGTGGGGAATGAAAAGATTATTCAGTAGACATCACTGAAAAAAGTTAGCTCATATATTTGTACAGACACATCTCTCTACTTTCTATCATTCATAAAAATGTTTTTAAAACCCTAAACGATAAGCATATTGGAAGAAAACATAGAATGTGTTTACAACCTTGGAATACGGAAACAATGCAAATATCATAAAGATTAAAAACATAAATGTAAAAGCTATTCAAAGGCAGTTTTATGTTTTTGAATATGTCCTATAGTTTGCTTAAAAAGGAGAATCTCGGGGGAACGATTTTGAGTCATACGTTCAGCTAGATAATAACCTTGGGTAAGAGAGAGAGAGAAAGAGAGCCTATGTGTGTTTGAAGAGAGTTTCGGGCATGAGAGCAGTGGGGACCAGGTGTGGAGTCAGGAGCCGTCGGCCATACAGTGGAATCAGTCTTTCTGGCCGCATCCCGGAAGGAAGGTGGAGATAAACAGATGAAAAGCTGAGTGTCACGCAGACACGGAGCTCATGACTGGAGAATCATACAGAACACGCCCTGACCCCACCGCTGAGCGTTCCTGTTCAGCCTTCCGAGCGACCTCCCTCGGCCGCCTCCTTAGCTTTCTGTTCTAGCCCGGTCCCCCGGGCCCTCTACCAACACGGGCCTTTGCCTGGGCGGTTTGTCAGCCCGGGAGCCCCGCCCTCTTCCTTCTTTTGACAACTTCCCTCTGCCTACGAGCCCCACTAGTCCTGGCTGTGTCACAGCTGCCTCGCCTCCTCCAGAAAGAATGCGTCACCCTTTGGCGCTTTGATCTGCCCTTTTCAGTGCACTTATCACACTCCCAGTAATTGTCTGTTTACTATCTCTTGCCCCATTAGATTGAACTCCCTGGGGCCATGCGTTGTGGCTCACACTCATCTGCTACCCCATCCCTCTTCAGGTCCGACGCCGTGGGTGCTGAACAAAGTCCCGAGTGAACAGGCTGGTCTCCTGGTTTCTGTTCATTCCTGTCCTCAAGTCGTCCTCCGTACGGGCCTGATTTTCATCTGAAAGCAAAATCTGGATTATATCACCCCAATTCAACATCCTTTCCTGGCTGACATTCACCACGGAGACTCGATTGTAGGCATTCAAGGCCTTGCACGCGGACCGCGGAGGCTGTTAGGACAATTAGAGAAAGGTGAGAGTCACAGTCAGGGTCAGGATTAGGCAAGCTGACCTTAAGGAAACCGAGAGCCCCGTGTAGCACATAATTTCCCACCTCCCTTCTCCAAACATGCATTCGGCACCATAGTCGGGACCTGCATGAGGCCTGAATAAGGACTTTGACACTCTTTATTAAGTGTTTATGCCCCTATGCTGGTCCAAAACAGACCTGGGCCTTGTTTACTTGTCTGTCCATCCTGGCCATTGTCTCACTCAAGTGGTGTGCTGGTGAACGTTTAACAACCAGCTCTGGGGGAGTCAGCTGGGGGTGCAGTGAAAATTAGTAAAAGGAAACCGCCTTTAAATGGAGCCGGGAGGCCAGCAGGGGGCAGTCTCAGCCCGGTCACGGGTGAATAGCGGACCCAAAAGGGAGACTCACACCTCGCAGGTGGATGCTAATTTACTACCCTACCACGAAGGTTTTCTCCTCCCCTGGCAACAGCCCAGCCAATGAGAGCAGGTCACAGCCCGGCCATGGAGGGTCTGTCACAGCCTAGCCAATGAGAAGATTCCATAGTTAGAAATCCGTTTACTGCAAGGGCCTTTTAGTTTACAACAACCCTCCCCACCTCCCCCTTTCTTCCTTTGTTCCCTGACTCGCCTGTGCCTTAACCTTCCGGGGCTGAGGTCGTTGAATGTGGAGTTGGGAGTGAATGTACCAAGCACATCGCCCCGTCATAACAGACACAGAAATCTCAAGTATATGGATAATAGTAAAAAGTAACAAAATTATTAGTAAGGGATACATTTTTATTTGCTACCTTTGTTTTTAATGCGATCTATTTCGGGGCGCCTGAGCAACTCCGTCGGTTAAGCTCCTGCCTTCAGCTCAGGTCATGATCTCAGTTTGTGGGTTCGAGCCCCGCGTCGGGCTCCGCGCTGACAGCTCAGAGCCTGGAGCCTGCCTCGGATTCTGTGTCTCCCTCTCTCTCTGCCCGTCTCCCGCTTGCGCTGTCTCAGAAATAAATGAACCTTAAAACTTTTTTTTTAATGCGATCTATTTAACGGTAAGTTTACAGAATTCGGTTTTTAAGAATGACTTTTAAAGATCGTGAACATCTGACGGCCAGCTTGCAAAATTCTGAGAATGTAACCAGGGGCTCCAGCGTCTCCGGACAAGCCGGTGCCAGGACACCATCGGGGCCCCCCCCCCCAATTTTTGATGGTTCGCATTCGGCCTCTTGCGCGGGGCATCTAAGAGCCGGGAGACTCCGGGCCGAGCGGAGGCACGGGGCTCGCCGGGGCGGCAGGCGCACCGCCGGGCTCCGCTCCCTCACCACGGCCGCGGGGCGGACGCCTCGGCTCCGAGCCCGGGGGGCGCTTTCCCTTCCGCTCAGCGCGGGTCCGGGTCCAGCCGCGCACCCGGCAGCCCCTGCGGCCGGAAGTCGGCCGGCTGCCTTCCCGGCTGCCCCCGCGCGGCGGCCGCGCTTCCGCCGGCTGGGCGTCCCGCGCGCGCCTGGTTTGTCTGAAGGGAAGCGTTTATTAGTCACCGCGCGGGGCTGCTTGTCTTTTCCCGGGTTCCGAGTCCGGCCGGATCAGTGCGGAGGGACGAGGGGCAAGAGCTTCCTCGTGAGTCACCCTGAAGCAGCAGCGCCCGGGAGATCGGGCGTCCGTACGGGGGCGGACCAGGGCCAAGCCCGGCCGGCGGGGAAGCTGGAGGCCTGGGGGCGGGAGCTTCTGCTCCCGGGGCGCAGGCCTGTGTGCGTGGCCTTGGGCAAGACATTTCGCCCTTCTCGTGCAGCACACTCTGCCGCACACGCTGCTCTTGCCCCCCTGGCCCCGGACCCTTGCTCGGGGGCCCGCAGTGCCCCCCGCTCCGGAGACGTTTAGGGCAGCGCTGCCGCCAGCCTGACCGGACGCGGCCCTCCGAGTCAAACGCTGGCTCCCTGAAAATACCGTCGAAACAGCCTGTAGCTAAGACAAAACTGAGTCCGATGCTTCCTTCTCTTGTTCGGGGAGAGCACTGTCTGAAAGGGTAGTTAGTCGAGAGGAGGTAGAGGGGCAGAGTTGGGGTGTTGAGGTTTGGGGCCAGGCTGAAGGGGGGCTTTTGGATGCAAGATTTTTTAATTAGGGTTGGGTGAGGATCGGGTCACATAGTTCAGGGTGTGTGGTCCCGGTGACGTGAGGATTTCCTGAGCCTTGGAGCTTCAACTGTTGCTTAATGCTACCTGTCAAAAGTTGGGGCGGTTTTCAGTGGATTTTTGTGAAGTCGGAGAGTAAGGTTCTTGACACCTTTTGTTTTCCTGGGCAGGTGTTTCCTGACATCATACAATAATACAGTCAGGTTGTTTTGCCTCAGCCATTATGAGTCACAGCCTCCTGTTGTTTGCACCCACAGAAACCCTGTATGTGGTTTGGTTGTGTGTAAAATGGGGATCATATTGCAGGGGGATGGGGAGGAGCTGGGCACGCCCTGAGAAAACCAGGGTCTCAGCCTCTGGTAGCCCAGCAGGGCTTATAAAAACGTCTGAGTCCTGAAAAACAATCCTTATCTCAAATAGGAAAAGGGAGCTCCAAATTGAAATGAATAGGTGGTTATTTATATGTATATCAATAAACAATAGACTAGATTTATTATTAATACGTTATTACTGTCCACAGCCAACTGCTACTCAAAGCACATAGTTAGGGGTGGTTGCATTTACCCTGTAGAGAGATGTGCACGTTCATGTGATTTGTGCCGTGTGGTCAGGGGTTCACAGCTAAGAATGCTCCAGGCTTCTCAAGATGTTAAAACATCCCTGGGGCATTTGGCTCCTGGTCTTGGTACGTCCCTGCTCCGGTGTGTGAGCTCATTTCCTCATCTGTACAGTGGGGAAGACTGTGCTTTGGGCAGAATAAGGAGGAAGTGAGGCCATATGTTAGCCAGCAGTTGTTGGAACTGAAGTCCACAGGATTCTAGAGCAGCGTTTGCCCTCACCGGCATGGGCTGCCCTGCACTTTGTGGGTCTAGAACAGACGGAGGGCCCATAGGAAGCAAGCTGGGAAGGAATGGGAGTGTTAACCAGTTTGGAAGAAAGCAGGAGAATGGAGGTGATATTGACCATTCTCCCAGCTCAACCTAGTTCCATCCATTTCCTGCACTGCTCCCCACCCCACCCACCAGGACAGGTGCAGGGACAACATTAAACATATATAACAACCAGTTTGAAACCATGAAAACAGGCTTGTGGCAGAGGCTTGGAGCCCCCCACCCCCGTCTCAACAGGTATTAATGTTTTTAATTGCTAGAGTTGGTGGGGGTGGAGGGGGCTATGGGAGCCGGGTATTTAGGGAAGTCCCTGTTTAACCTGTAGTTGACATTCAGTTCGGGCCCTATCAGGGCCTCCCGGCTAAAAATGTGCCTGCGTAGGGAAGTGGGGGTTCCAGGTGTGGGGCAGGCGGAGGTGGGGGCCTGGGTAGGGGGCAGATCCTGATCAGGTGAGCCTTCTGTGGTCACCAGAGCAGTGGGGTCTCCTGGTGAGAGCTGGGCTCTACCAGGGAAGCTTCAGCCTCCTGGGGCTCCTGGGCGTTTGAGGGGCGCCCTCGCTGAACTTTGCTAGGTTTGCATGTCCGCCCATCTTAGACTTGGGGAACTCTTTTCCCTTTCCTGTTCCTAGCTGACACATTTCCTGTCCTCTCTCCACACCGGTGCTCCGTCTTTCACAACACCTTGCTGGTGAACTCAGCTTTGACACCCGTCCTTAGCAGCTGGAGGATTAATTCTGCCCTTAAGGGCAAGAAAGACTGGGCCTTCCAACCCTGCCGATTCGAGGGAAAAATATTTGTGTTCCATTTCTTCATGATAAAGAACAGAAAGAAAAAAAAAATCACTACACAGCTCTAGAAAAGTCTTTAGAAAAGAGAGTAGTTCGACAGTACATGTCAGATAAGTTTATAAGCTAGTGATTTTCCTACTAAGAATGTAACTTGAGTGAGAAGGAAAGCTGATGAGAGCAGATAAAAAAGGGCCAGCCAGATGTCCAAGGCCAGATACTCCCCTTGCTTGCTTTTGGCTTCTGTAATCTTGCTTGCCCCCACATCAGCCAGCAGCCAGGAACCAGAAGACTGTACTAGTCCCACCCAACCCGGAAACGCTTAGGTATAAAGGATCAGTAAAACCCGAGCCGGGTGCTCAGCTTTTGGAGGTGACCCCGCTGGGACGGCACCGGTGCGAAATAGTCTTTTTTAATTCCCTGAGTGTGTGTCGCTTGTCTTTTCCTGGACTATCTGCTGTAATATTTTTGGTGCGTTGGCCAGGAAGCCGACAGCCGTGCTGGCCCCTTGAGTCACCACTGTGGGAGGCCACGGAGAGCCCACTCATCGCGGGGTCCTGTGACAAAGGAAGGTATGCCACCACCTTGACTGCGACCCTCACCAGGCCCGACAGTAGTCAGCTGCCGCTGTTTTCAGACGGACTCCAGGGGAGTCAGAAAATTCTGCCAGGACGGGACATCGGATCGGGTGAGTGTCCCCGAGGATCCAGCACCGAGTTCAGGCCCGCCCTAGGACAGGGAAGTCCCAGGTGGAAGTCTGTAGTCTGTCTGAATGTGTGTGTGAGTGCTACACGGTCTCGGCCACGGAGCCTGAGTGGGTCCTACCCTGTGATTCCTTGACAGCCTCATACGGCTCAAGGCAGAGTCAGGTCCGCCGAGGCCTGATCTGAGTCGGGTTTATACTGACCTGCCAATGTGAAGAGGCGTCTGAGTGGGGCGCCTGGGTGGCGCAGTCGGTTAAGCGTCCGACTTCAGCCAGGTCATGATCTCGCGGTCCGTGAGTTCGAGCCCCGCGTCGAGCTCTGGGCTGATGGCTCAGAGCCTGGAGCCTATTTCCGATTCTGTGTCTCCCTCTCTCTCTGCCCCTCCCCCGTTCATGCTCTGTCTCTCTCTGTCCCAAAAAAATAAATAAACGTTAAAAAAAAAAAAAAAAAAAAGAGGCGTCTGAGTACCTGCGAGGAGAGCGGCCAGGTGGACGAAGCGATCCCTTCCCTCGTGTTTGTCCTGCGACACCGCACATCGGGAGGGACCCATCTGGGATACCAGGATGGGGGGGGGTTCCTCAAAACCAACTGTTTTGGAATGTGTGATAAGAATTTTAAAAAGGGATTTTCAGGTGACTTTGGGGTCAGATTGACCCCCGGGAAATTACGAACCCTCTCTGAATTAGAATGGCCTGCGTTTGGTGTAGGCTGGCCCCCTGAGGGCACCCTAGATGTCCCCCCGGTCCGAGCTGTTTATAAAGTAGTTACTTGAGACCCCAGCCACCTGGATCAATTCCCATACATCGATCAGTGGCTGGAAATAGCCCAAGTCAAGCCTCCTTGGGTTCAGTAAAGGACAGTGTAGGGTCTTAGTGGCACGGGCTGAGAAGACCTCACAACAGAAAAAAACGCCCCCGTCCTCGAAGAAAATTTAGACATCCTTCCTTTTCTGCCACCCTATGCCCCCAGAGTCCCATCAGTCGAGGGAGGGGAACCTCGCCTGGCTGACAGTCCACTCCCATCGGTCTCACCCCCGCCAGCAGTCGGTCCGCCCCCACCAGGGACACCTGAACCAGTAGGAAGGTGCCGTAGGTCCACGGCTCAAGGTCCAAGGCCCCAGTGGCAATGCAGATGCCGTTGCAGGAGACGGGTCCGCAGAGAATAGGCCCCGATGGGACCCTTTCTGCTACCAACGGTTCTCCACTACTGACCTCCTCGCCGGGAAACACCACACTCGCCCAACTCTGAGAGGCCGCAGGCGATGATCTTCTAGAGTCCATATTCCAGTCTCAGCGCCCTGCCTGGGTCAACGGTAAGCAGCTTCTGCGTCCCCTTTTCAACACAGAAGAGCACCGACGAATTGTCACCGAAGCCAGAAGATGGCTCCCGACTCAAGCACCAGATGGACAACTAGACGTTGAGGCCTAGGCACGGGAGGCTGTGCCCGAAGAGGAACACAGAAGTGGGAAGGGCCAGACTAGAAAGATACCGACTAGCCTCCCTCCAAGGGGTAAAAGCAGAGGCCAGACAGCCTACCAACGTGGCAAAAGTATCTGAGGTGTGTCAAAAGCCGGAAGAGAGTCCGGCTGACTTCTGTGAAAATTACGTGAAGCCTTCAGAGTTTACACTCCGTCGACCCAGAAGCCCTCAAAAACCAGCACATGGTCACTGCTATGGATAGCCCCATAGTGACATTAGACAGAAGCTCCAAAAATTGGAGGGATTTGGTGGAAAGAACGCCACCGAACTATTGGAAATCGCCAACAAGGTTTTTGTAAATTGGGGCCAAGCTGCCAGAAAGGAGGCGGACAGCAGAGTGAAACAAAAGGCAGCTCTCCTGGCCGCGGCCTTGGGGCGACCATCCCCTGTGGAAGGGCACGGAAACCACAAGGGGCTCAAGAACAAAAACGAAGGGCGCCGCTGGGATGGGGTCAACATGTCTACTGCAAGGAATGTGGACCCTGGAAAAATGAATGGCCCAGCCGCCCAAGAGGGAAACCAAAAGCTTCTACTCCGCCGAGATGCTACCAACCAGAACCACCCGAGGCCGACCTGATCGGTATCCAGCTGGGCCCCCATGAGCCCATGGTCAAAATGAAGGGGGGGGGGGGCAGACAATAGACTTCATGGTCGACACAGGGGCCGAACGCTCTGCGGTGACACACAGGGTGGCACCTCTGTCGGGTCGAGAAGTCACCATCGTAGGAGCCACTGGGATGCAAACCTGAAGGCCATTTTGCCGTCCCTGACAGTGACCTGGGAGGTCACCAAGTAGTTCACGAATTCCTGTATCTACCTGACTGCGCACTGTCACTGTTAGGTAGAGACCTCCTAGACAAGATGGGCGCACAAATAGCCTTCACCTTGGATGCACGGACACAACAGCACCTAAATGAAAAGGCCCAACCCATGGTTTTGTCCCTGACGATTCCACGGGAAGAGGAATGGAGATTATATACTTCCCCTCCCGGGGAGCCAACTGTGGCCCCCGAGCTAGAAGCTGAATCCCCTTCAGTTTGGGCAGAAGGAACCCCCCTCTCATCTGCAAAAAACCACCCTCCCCAATATTAATTGACCTAAAGCCTGGGGCCCAGCCTGTCAAAATATGCCCATACGTGATCTCCTGGGAGGCTCACCTGGGGATCCAGACACTCTTGGACAGGCTACTCAAATGGGGACTGGCAAAACGATGCCAGTCCCCGTGGAATACGCCCCTGCTGCCCGTGAAAAAGCCTGGGACAGATGATCACCGCCCTGTGCAGGACCTAAGAGCCGTAAATGGAGCAGTCGTCAGGCTGCATTCAGCATTGCCCAACCCGTATGCTCTGCTAGGACTCATACCCTCTGAGGCAGGATGTTTCACGTGTCTAGATTTAAAGGACACCTTCTTCTGTCTCCAGCTAGCGCCTAATAGCCAACCCCTATTTGCCTTTGGATGGGAAAACCCTACCACAGGAGCAAACGAACAATTTGCTTGGACTAGACTGCCGCAAGGATTAAAAAATCCACCAGCCTTATTCAGTGGGGCACTGGCATCTGACTTAGCCAGGTTCCTGGGACGGGACCTAGGATGTGTCCTCCTCCAGTACGTGGACAATCTCCTGCCAGCCAGTCCCAGGCGGACCCAGTGCTGAGAGGGAACCAGGGCCCCACTCAGGCCGCTAGCAGAGGTGGGATACCGGGTGTCCAAGAAAAAGGCACACATTTGCCCGTAGGAAGTTAAATATTTGGGCTTCAAAATTACTCAAGGCAAATGGATGCTGCGAGCGGAAAGGAAACAGGCAGTCTGTGCCATCTGGTTCCCACTCCTTGCTAGCAGGTCCAAGAGTTCCTGGGAGCAGCAGGATTCTGTTGGATATGGATCCCAGGGTTCTCGGAGTTGGCCGGACCTCTCTATGAGGCACCAAAGGGGGAAGAAAGGGCACCCCTTCTGGGGACCTCATCAAGAAAAGGTATTTCAAAACCATAAAAACAAAACTCGCAGAGGCCCCGGCCCTAGGACTTCCAGATGTATCATGAGATTTCAGTCTGTTCGTACGTGAAAGCAGTGGGGTGGCCCTGGGGGTTCTTGCCCAGGACTTTGGAGCTTGACAAAGACCAGTGGCATATCTTTCAAAGCAGATTAACTCAGCTGTGGGAGGACGGCCACCCTGTCTGAGGGCCCTGACAGCCACCGCACTTGTGATCAAGGAAGCAGGCACACTCGTGTTGGGGCAAGACCTAAGCTCTGAGGTTCCCCGTGCTGTTATTACCGTGATAGATGCCGGAGGGCAACACTGGCTAACACGTGCTCGGATGACAGTATCAGGGACCGCTGTGTGGTCCCACGAATCAGATCGGAAGCCGTAGAAACTAAACCCTGCCACTTTCTTGCCTGCAGCGGCAGGGCCCCCAGAGCATGATTGTCTAGGGGTCCTTGATGGAGTCTTTTCCAGCCGACCTGACCTATCAGACAGAGCCTTACAAAATCCTAATCTCACCCTGTACACCGACGGCAGCAGCTTCATGGACGCAGATTATGCAGGAGTCTCTGATTTCGAGGTCACAGAAGCAGAGGCCCTTCCACAAGGACGACCAGCTCAAAGAGCAGAACCGTGGGCCCTAATGAGAGCACTAGAACTCAGGAAGGACAGACAGGCCAACAGACACGCTGACTTGCGCCATGCCCTTGCCACTCTACCTGCACGTGGGGCCCTACACAAGGAGAACGGACTTTTGACCACAGGAGGGAAAGAAAGAAAAAATTGGGAAGAAATCCTAAAACTACTGAGGGCAGTCTGGGAACCGAGGGAGGTAGCAGTCATCCACTGCAGGGGACACCAAAGGGGAAAGGACTCTGTGTCGGAAGGTAACTGACGGGCGGACGCCGCAGCTAAACAAGCAGCGGGAGAATGAACGGCACCCTCGAAAATCACGCTGGCCCCGGAGCTGCCGGCTTCCCTAAGGTACACGATCCAAGAGACAAAATGGGCACAGCAGGAAACAGGAGGCCAGACGGAAGGGTGGTGGGTACTTGCGGACCAAAGAGTCTGTGTGCTGGAGCCGCTAGCCCGCCAGGTGGTTCCCCAGCAGCCTGAGCTCCCCCACCTGGGAAGAACCGCCCTTAAAACCTTATCGGGCTGTTACTATGTAATCGCTCGGCTCCCGTCCTTCTGTGCCTCGGTCTCTCAACGCTGCCTCCTCTGTGCTCAAAATAACACCAGACAGGGCCCCACTGGACCCGTGGGAATCCACTGCTGCGGTCAGGCACCCTTCAAAGATTTGGAGGTAGGCTTTACCGAAATGAGAACCGGCGGAGGATACGAATTTCTTCTATTCATCTGCACGTTTCCGGGCTGGGCGGAGGCCTACCCCACACGCACCGAAAAGGCAAGAGTAGTAACCAAGGCCTTGCTAAGGGATATCATCCCCAGATGTGGAATGCCGTGAACCATGGGCTCAGACAGGGGCCCGGCTTTTGTGGCCGAGGTGATGCCTAAAGTATCCCTGGGCATCCGATAGAATTTACACGCAGCCTACCAGCCCGAGTTCAGAGAAAGTGGAACGTATGGAACCAGAGCCTTAAATCAGCCATGGCAAAACTGCGTCAGGAAACTAATTTGCCAGACGTACGACCTCTATCTAGCTCTTCTCCAAATACGCTGTACACCCCGGGCAAAAATCGGATCCTCCCCATTCGATGTCCTCTCTGGAAGATCCCCTCCACTAGTCAAATTCAAGTCAAATTCAAGGGGGACCTGACAGAACTAGGGAAACAAGAATTAAGGAAAACTATTTGGGATACATACATGGTGACGGACAGGATACCTATTTCCCGTGGAATAGCTGTACATCCCACAAACCTGGGGATCCGGTTTGGAGTAAAGATAAGAAAAGGAAGCCACTCAAACCTACCTGGAAGGAACCCTGTTTCGTTGTGCTAACCACGCCCACGGCCCTCAAGGTCGCAGGACTAACTGCCTGGATCCACCATTCTCGAGTAAAGGCGGCCCGCCCGTCGCCTGACAACCACTTGGGATGGAAAGGAACTTCGCGAACCAGAACAGTCCTCTACAGACCACCCTTAAGAGCACAGCGCCGATAAGCGGCCTGCAGCCGACCCCTGAGGGCTCTGTGTAAGCAGAAGCTTGAGGAAATCACCAAGCGACTTCAGTGACCTACAGCACGTCGTTCGCGAATTTCCCTGTCATCCCCTGCCCGTTTCTTTTGCCATACTTGTCGCCATGCTGTCTGCTTAGGGCTGGCCCAAGTTACTCCACAGACGGGCGCCTCAGTCACTGACTCCTGTTAGCCTCCCTCTGCTCACTAGTGTCAGGATGCCTCATTCTCCTTAGGTGTGCACGATCTGAGTTGCGATAGATGTCCTCTGCACGTTGTTCTCTGCCTTTAGAACCGTCGCCCAGCCCAGGAAGGGCCGGCCCCGTCTGCCGTCCCCGTGGCGCGTATCCCTGTTCCTAACCTGCTCTTCTGCTCGCTCCCGCCATGCAGATGTGTGACCTGTTACTCCCCGCCTGTCCCCCAAGGCCCGAAGAGCCACTCTGTGCTCCCCACCACTGGACCCCATCTGTCGTCAGGAGGGCCAAACTTCTGTAACAGACGCACGGGGTTGCACTGCCTGCTACCCCACTCGGCCTCCTACAGAGGCCACTCCTTTCCCTGTGCCCTTCCCGACTCCTGCTCCAACCCTCTGGTCCACAGGGGTCAGACGACACTACCACGTGTCCCTGTGCCACCGTGTACCCCCACGTGCCGGACAGATGTTATACCAGGAGGGTCACTCCCTGTACCAGAAGCAGGAAAACTTACTGGACGGGAAAAATGAAAATGAAACGTTGCTGGGGGCTGCCCGATCCGACCTGCCCTGATGCTCCCCGTGCCTGTTGGGTCATCCTCCGTGGGAACATAAATCAGGTAGAGCACTGGTCTTAGATCCCCGACCGGACCAGATGTTAAACGCAGCTCATCGCCTCCTCAGTGCTACCGATCCTGCCGGCTCTGCTTGTCCGCGGGACCCACCCGTTAGGCAGCTAGTCCGATAACACAGGCCCCTGTAAATGTTACCCTGCTACCAAAAGACCCAGAGCCCTGCACGGTGAGACCTGTACCAACTGGAGTCGAACTGCCCCCAGTGGCTCCCAGTTGCCCGACAGACAAGAGGGGAACAGAGCCATTGGGCATTCTGACCATTGGCCAGTGCAACCAAACTCTTGACAGTCAGGAGCTCAGTCATCTTCCTACGAGCCAAGCCTGGTGTTGACCCCTCCCAGGGCTTCTCTTTATCTGTGGGACGGACGCCTCCCTATGTCTGCCAGCTGACTGGACGGGCACTGTACCCCGGCCTTCCTCCTCGTAAGATAAACGTTGTTCCCAACAATCAGTCTCTTAGAGTACCCGTGGCAGCACATACTCGCTCAAAAAGAGCCACCCAAGTCATCCCCCTGCTGATTGCCTTAGGGATGCGGCAGGGGTGGGCACTGGAGTAGGAGGAACCGTGTCCTCACCCACTTACTGCCGTGAATTGTCCAGGGACCTAACAGACGGCACAGAACGGGTTATCGAACCTCTGGTGGCGTTACAAGCCCGAGTAGACTCCCTGGCAGCGGTAGTCTTACGGAACAGAAGGGGGCTGGGCCTCCCACTGCTGAAAGGGGAGGACTGTGTCTCTTCCTGAACAAAGACTGCTGCTTCTGTGTCAGCCAATCAGGGACAGTCGGAGGTATGGTCCGCAGGTTAAGGGAGCGAATCACCAAACGAGGCAGGAACAGTTCCTCCTGGAACTGTTGGAGGAACGTGTAGAATTGGGCATCCTGGCTCCTCCCTTAGCTGGTCCTCTCCTGGCGCTTGTCACAGCCCTCCTGTTTGGTCCCTGTGTTCTTACTACGCTAACCAGGTTTGTTTCCTCCCGCCTGGAAGCTGTAACACTCCAGATGATGCTCCGGATGGACCGTTCTCGTGTCGCTACGCTCCTTCGGATGGCAAAGAACCCTGGCTGTCACTTTCCTCCCCTCGACATCCGTGTCCAGCAGGAAGAAGCCAGAACGGCCTTTGCCCCTTCCCCCGTGGCAGCAAAGGGCCCCTGGGCCCCCACAAACTGATTTTCTCTAAGTCTGCTACAGCAGCTTGAGAATCAAGAGCGGGGAATGAGAAGGAAAATCGGTGAGAGCAGATAAAAAAGGGCCAGCTGGGTGTCCGAGGCCGGATTCTCCCCCTGTATGCTTGTGGCTTCTGTAATCTTGCCCCTTATGGCAGCCAGCAGCCAGGAACCAGAAGCTTGACTGTCCTAGTCCCGCCCAACCTGGAAGCACATATGTATAAAGGGTAAGTGAAACCCGAGTCCGGGTGCTCAGCCTTTGGAGGTGACTCCGCTGGGCCAGCACCGGTGCGAAATAAACGGTCTTTTCTGTCCCCGAGTGTGTATCGCTGGTCTCTTCCTGGGCGCCGAGTTCTTGCTGTAACGTGAGGAACTGGTGAGAGATGTTTCTTAAGGATTTGTGAACAAGGTGGTTGACGGAAGCATCATATGCAACAGTAAAAAGAATGAATATCCAGTATCAGAGGACGGGCCTTGGGTCACTTACACAATGGAATGTTATATCGTATTAGTAATCATATTATGGATGAATAGTTTATGGACATGGGCGATACCAAAATGTGTTACATTTAATAAGCGGATTGGGGCACCTGGGTGGCTCAGTTGGTTGAGCATCCGACTTCATTTTGGCTCAGATCGTGATTCCAGGGTCGGGAGATCGAGCCCCACATCGGGGTCTGTGCTCAGTGTGGAGCCTGCTTGAGATTCTCTCTCTCTCCCCCCTCCCCCCTCTCCCCGTCCCCCCTCCCCCCTCTCCCTTCTCCCCTCTCCTGCCCCTACCCAGCTTGTGCTCACTGGTTTGAGCACTCTCACTCTAAAATGATAAAGGTGGGGCGCCTGGGTGGCGCAGTCGGTTAAGCGTCCGACTTCAGCCAGGTCACGATCTCGCGCTCCGTGAGTTCGAGCCCCGCTTTGGGCTCTGGGCTGATGGCTCGGAGCCTGGAGCCTGTTTCCTATTCTGTGTCTCCCTCTCTCTCTGCCCCTCCCCCATTCATGCTCTGTCTCTCTCTGTCCCAAAAATAAATAAACGTTGAAAAAAAAAATTAAAAAAAAATAATAAAGGTAAAAAGCAGATTAAAATAATGTAGTAGTATGATAGAAATAATACAGAAAGGGAAAAACAGAATTTGTAGCCTGCTTTATTAAGTACAAATTTGTAAACTGTTTGATTTCATTAATTCATTCAACAGAATACACTAACGATGTAACAGTAACAGGTTAAAAATGTAATTTACAGTGCGCCTGACTGGCCTGATGGAGGGTGCAACTCTTGATCTCAGGGTTGTGGGTTTGAGACCCACATTGGGTCTCTTTATTTATTCATTTATGTATTTTGGTTTCAGGGGTAGAATTCGGTGATTCATCCCAACGGGTGCCCTCCTTAATCCCCGTCACCTGTTCAGCCCATCCCCTACCCACCTCCCTCCTTCAACCCTCAGTTTGTTCTCTCTTTAAGAGTCTCTTATGGTTTGTTTCCCTCTCTTTTTTCTTGTTCTTTCCCCCGGCCACGTGTTCATCTGTTTTGTTTGTTAAATTTGGGGCGCCTGGGTGGCGCAGTCGGTTAAGCGTCCGACTTCAGCCAGGTCACGATCTCGCGCTCCGTGAGTTCGAGCCCCGCGTCGGGCTCTGGGCTGATGGCTCGGAGCCTGGAGCCTGTTTCCGATTCTGTGTCTCCCTCTCTCTCTGCCCCTCCCCCGTTCATGCTCTGTCTCTCTCTGTCCCAAAAATAAATAAATGTTGAAAAAAAAATTAAAAAAAAAAATTTCACATACGAGTGAAATTATACGGTATTTGTCTTTCTCTGACTTACTTGCTTAGCGTAATACACTGTAGTCCCATCCACGTCATTGGGAATGGCAGGGTTTCATTTTTTTTTTTTTGTCAAAATAGTATTTATTTATTTGTAAATGTTTATTTTGAGAGAGAGGGAGAGGGAGTGCGAGGGCCTGAACAGGGAAGGGGAGAGAGAGAATCCCACACCGTCAGCACAGAGCTCCACGCAGGGCTTGGTCCCATGACCCTCAGATCGTGACCTGAGCTGAAGTCAAGAGTTGGATGCTCAACCACCTGAGCCACCCAGGTGCCTCAAGGTGTCATTCTTTGGGATGGCTGAGTAATATTCCATCGTGTATATATCACATCTTTATCTGTTTATCAGTCAATGGACATTTGGGCTCGGCTGCTGTCGAACAGCCTCGCTCTCCATTGGCAAATTTAAAACGAGAGCGGAATGAGGGCGCGGGAAGAGAGAAGTAGGGTCATTCAAGTGGTTGTCTAGCTCACCCAGAGCTTTAGACAAGGGGAGCGGCCCGGCCCCTTGTCTAGTTGTTAACTAGTAGGTTTGTGTTGTGGCTGCTGGCGGTATGTTTGTTCCAGGCGGATGTCTTTGAAATGGACGCTTCTGCGACCCAAAGCTTCGTGTCAGGGACTCCTGTTACAAATACACAGGCTGGCCTCTGCCCCCAGTGCCTGACCCTGGGCTTCTTAATCCCTTGGAATTTCCTGGGTGGCCGGAGTGTCTTCTAGTTTGAGGAGGCGGCTCTTGGTGGGCTCCGGATAGCTCCCGGGCGAAGGCTGGTCACTGGAAAGACCAAACCGTGATTAGAAGCTTGCAACCTCCAGCGCCGTCCTCCAGGGGGCGCAGAGGGGCTGGAGATGGAGTTGAGCACCAGTCACGCCCACGTGATGGGTCTCCATGAACATCCCTAAGGTGTGGGGATCCGAGGCCTTCCAGGTTGGTGAACACATCCACGTACCGGGAGAGTGGCGCGCCCCCACGCCATGACACGGTGGCTCCCGCGTTCGGGATCCTTCCTGGCTTTGCCCCGTGCCCCCCTCATCTGGCTATTCCCTGGATCCTTTATTACATAATAAACTGGTAAACATAAGTGTTCCCTTGAGTTCTCTGAGCGATCCTAGCAAATTCTTGAACCCGAGGAGGGGATCCCGGGAGTCCTGGATTTGTAGCCAGGTCGGGCAGAAGTGTGGGTGATGAGGACCCACCGCCTGGGATTGGCGTCTCTGAAGTGGGGGGATCTCATGGGGCCGAGCCCTGGCCCTGTGGGGTCTGTGCTAACTCCAGTTGGCGTCTGCATTGAGTGAAATTGGAGGACACCCATCTGGTGTCCACAGAAAAGGAGAATTGCTTGATGAACAAAATCCTACATAGCCGGGACCAGACAGCACTTTGCGTCTACAGACAGCTGGTTTTTCCTCTCCAGTTGGATGTGGGCGGGAGGCACGGGGCGAGTCAGGGACGGTCCTAGCCGTGCGGCTGGAGCGCCCAGGGGGATGGTGCCGTTCTCTAAGATGGGGACCCCGGGGGTCGGGGTTCCAGGGAATCTCGAGGTCCCCTACTTGTCCTCAGCACCCAGACTTGGGCTGTGGCAGGCTGCCTCCTGTCTCACCAGGCGCGCTGGGCCTCCCTTCACCCCAGCCCCCAACCCGGATGGGTGTCCCCATCCCAGCCACCGACCTAGGCCCTAGAGCTCTGTGTCCTCCTGGCTGGAGAAACCACACTGACTTACCCAGAAGCCATCAGTCAGCCGTAACCAGCAGCCACGCACTGCCCCGGGGGGTGAGGGGGAGGAGGAACGTAGTCGGAGGTGGCTCTCCACCCCGCGGGGGAGCCGGGGCTGGTTTTCCGTGCTTCCTCTCCGCAGGCATGACGTGGCTACGCGGGTCACCTGGGGGGCTAGTCACGGCTTGGTAGGAAACCCCCAGAGGAAGGGCTAGGAGCACCTGTTAGTCCCAGCTCTGTTACTGGATCTTGTGCAGCATTCACTTCCTTTCCATGAGTCCTTGGCCATGACTTCTGACCTCGAGACTGAGGTCCTGCCCTCTCTTCTTGGGCCATGAGTCACTCCTACATCACCACGAGTACTGGAAGCTGCCCAGCCTGGCGATGGGCACCCAGCGAGTCAGCTCAGCCAGCTTGCCCGTTGCCCTCTGTCCTCCTTCCCAGCAGGCTCCTCTGGGCCCGGCCCTCCCCAGCCCAGAGCTCCCCTCTGCTTCCTGGTGGCGGAGAAGTGCCCAGCCCTTCTCGGCTGGTCTCGGTGTCATGGTCAGAACAGGTTCCAGTGGGTCCCAGGTGGGAGGGGGAGGGATGCCGGAGTGCTGGGGAGTCCAGCTCTATTATGAGCTGGTCAGGTGGTGGATGACGCTCAGGGACATGCAGGGCAGAACCTCACAGTGGGCCGTCCGGGGGTGGGGGAAGGCCTGTTTTGTGGCCTTTGGTGGTATGTCCATTGTCCCGTCGTGCACGGCTGGTCTCAGGACACTGCTGTGATGTGAGCTCTTGCAAACTTCCCACCAGCTTCACCATCAGCTCCTGCTAGCCAGTCGGAGCCCTTGTTAACACATCCCCGTGATAAACGTGCAATTGTTTTTTTTAAATAGGCTCCGTGTTCAACGTGAGACTTGAACTCGGGACCGAGATCAAGAGTCGCACGCTCTACAGACTGAGCCAGCCAGGCGCCCCAAACATGCTATTTTAAAGGTAAGCAGGCAAAGCAGAGGGGGTTCCAAGTTTACCTGGGACCAACTCTTACCCACTAGGCCAAGTTCTTGTGCATGGAGAAGGGGGGCAGTAGAAGGGTTTTCCACCAACCAGAGAAGCCGTGTGTAGCCTGGGAAGTTGGGAGTGGAGGTGAGGGGTTCTGGACCCCAGGGTGGGCCGTCCAGTGACGTTTCTGCAGGAGGACTGACCACCTTCCTCCCCGGAGAGTCCCAGCCCAGGCCGATGGGTTATTTTTCCATGAGAACCATAGGAGTCAATAGGGGAAAACAGGATCAGCTCTAAGAAATCCAGCGTACGGCCAGCTTTTCTGAAGGAGGGATGGGTTGTGGATAAATCCGGACTGAGGAGGCTGTGAGGAAAATGTGGGGCCCGGGGTGTGGGAGCTGGGCTCGGGTGAGGTGGGGCTCCGAGTGGGACCTGGGACCTGAGACGGGGTTGGAGCCACTTTGGACCTAAGTCACCAAGAGGCAGGGAGCACTGTGTGAGAGCTAGGAGAGTTCGGGAGTGTGATTAGACCAGGGGAAGGGCATCCCCAGTGATGAAGCCGCGGTCAGTGAGCAGTGTCCTCGAGTGTCCCCAGGGCCTCATTAGTGCCCAGAAGACCTCGCCCGCAGACCAGCACAGCCTGATGCTGCTCACGGGGCCCTAGGCGCCTCGCGACCACCAGCCCTTCAACCCGAGCAGCCCTTGCTCCCTCGGTCGGTGGTGGCAGGCAGGGCGGGGCCGACCAGTGCTCCTCACAGATGGATAAACTGAGGCCGGGCTTGGAGGAAGGAGCCCGTGTTCGGCTGGCCCCTTGGGGCGCTCTGCTGGCTCGCGTGAGGGCGGCTGGCACAGCCAGCCCACGGCCGGGGAGACCGGGGCACGGGCGGTGTCGCAGGATGGGCTCGGGTGGGCAGAGCCACATGCAGCTGGGGGGCCACTCTGACCCGGGGGGCCCACAGGTGCCGCCACTTCCAGCGTTCACGAAAGAGGACATTCAGATTTTCTCCCCCGTTCTTTCATGTGGAGAATATGCCCGATTTGCCGTGGTGACCATCCCGAAGCGCCCGCACGGGTCCGAGGCGTTGACCACCTGCTTCAGCTGCACACCTTTCCAGCTTCCCCGAGCACTCTGCCCCCGCCCCCACCCCCACTTCCTGTCTCTGGGCTTGCACTTGAGGGACCTCGTGGAAGTGGAACCCTGCAGTATCTATCCCTTTGCGCCTGGCCCTTCACCGAGCGTGACGTCCGCCAGCTCAGCCGCGCTGTGGCCGGTGTGGTAGCAGGTGTGCAGCAGTCCGTCCTTTCTGTGGCTGAATGACGTGTCTCACTGGGTGGAGGGACCACGGCTTGCTTATCCCTTCGCCCACTGATGGACATTTGGCTGTTTCCTCTCTGGGGCTCCCGTGCCTAGTGCTGCCGTGAACGTGCGTGCCGGTCCTGCTTGGGCGGGCACCCGGGGGCAGGCCAGGTGCCACCCAGCACCCGCCATGAGAGCTGTCAGCCCCCTCCCCACACCCCCCGGGGCACCTGGTGGTCCGGCGGCCTCTGCCCCTGTGCCCATGAGCTGGTTGATCCCTGGCCCTGGAACGGCCTCCCCACTTCTCCTGCCCCCGTTTCGTCCCCTGCACAGGGAGGCCCACTGGGTGGGGTCGGGCCCCCTCGGTCCCCGTGCCTGTCCTCTGCCCCAGCTTGGATCTGCTGTCCCACCTGGCAGACCCTTTGCTCGCACCTTCCCCGGGGCCAGAATGACCTCTGACTACACCTAGAAGACTCGGCTGGAGAGACCGCCATCCTCCCTGCCCCCGTCCCCCTCCCCGTTTGGTTTCCCTGTGACTCTGTCATCCGTCAGACTAAACGACTGATGGATGGTGTTTCTCTCTCTCCTCCAGCGTCCCCAGCGTGCGGGCAGGGGCGGTCTCCGGTCTGCTCGCCGCTGTGTCTCCAGCACGCCCAGGTGTGAAATGGCGTTGGTGTGCCACTTCGGGCTGAGCCCCGCCAGCCCCAGCCGCCACTCGTGCGATGCGTCCGCAGCCCTCTCCGTCCTGCACAGCTCGCTGCAAATCATCGGTGGCCCTGCGATGGTGTGACAGGCACCGGGTGGCAGGGTGGGTGGCAGGGTGGGCACCTGGTGCCCAGGTGAGGACATGCCCAGCCGGCACTGCTGGTATGGCTGCAGCATCCAGTAGGCGCTCCGTAAATGTCTCCAATGGATGTCAAGTCACGCCGGGGCCCCCACTCTCTGGGAACTGGGGAGCCGGTCTCTGGGGCCCTTGCTGAGCCCTGGTGCCCGACAGCCTTCACTGCCTTCTCAGGTCTTCCTGTGGCTCCTACCGGGTCCTTCTCCTGGAGGCCCTCTACCTGGCCACCCTTTTTGGGGACCAGTGACATATCAGGACACGTGTCTGTCCCTCGGGTGACCTCGGCAGTGGCCCAGTTCTCAGGAAACGTAATAGGACACTGGGGAGGCTGCATTCTGGGACAGCTGGTCCCTGGCACAATCCTCCCGACACCTTGCCACGCTTGTTTATTCATTCAGCAAACACCCACTGAGACCCGGAGTGCACCAGGGCCATCCTAGATCCCCAGGGTGTGCTGGGCCACCTGACACTGCCCCTCCCCTCGGGGCGGGGGGAGTCACAGCTCCCAGCACCCAGCCTCTTGTGGCCCTCCAGGGGCCCTGCCCGCCTCCATGCTTCCCCACACCCCCTCCCCCGTGCTGAGACTCCTTCACCATCATCACTTGCTCACCTGCCTCCCACCCCCGGGGAGATGCCTGCTGCCCAAGGGTAGGACCTGTGTCTTATCCGTGGTGCCCCAGTGCCCAGCATGGGATCTGACATACAGCCGTGGCCCAATAAATGCTTGTCGAGTGAGGCCAACCACCTTAGTTTCGGGAAGGCAGCGGTTTGGGGGAGCCTGGGGCTAGCCGTGGAGTAGAGACAGCCCAGGGTGGTGGGCAGGCGGCGGGGTGGGGGGGCACCCACAGAGCCTGCCCTTCACCTTTGCTGCTTGGCATGGGTGTTCTCCGGCAGCTCCCTGCCCCCGGTCCTGGGACAGAATAATGCATCAGCTGGGGGCTGTTCGGGGCTCCTGCACCCCCACCCTTGGCTTGTATTGGGGCGGGATGGGACAGGGGGCTCGCCCTGATGAGAGGGGGTGTCTGGCTGTAGTTTAGCCCCGAGTTGCCTCCTGCCCTTCTAGCCGAAGCCAGAAGGGGGCAGTAAAACACACCAGCGATCCCTTGTGGCTCCGGGGAGGTGGTCGGCTGCAGGCTCCTGCCACCTCTCAAGGCCCCAGGGTCTGAGCGGGGACAGCACAGGGGTCACCCCTACCCCCAGGCTGTGGGGGAGGAGCATGTTGGCCAAGCCGGGGCGCTCCAGAAAGGCTGAGGCGGTCTGCCCAGCGGGGTGCGCCGAGTGCCTGCCTGGAGGGCCCCCAGCTCCTGCCAGCACCCTGTCCTGCGCCCCAGCCCGGCTTCCTCTCTTCTCTGAGCCCCCCTGCCCGCGTCTGCACGCCTCTCCACTGCTCCCACTTGCCCTCCGGGTCGCCGCTTTCTGGGCGGTCTTCACCTGCAGCCCCGCCAGGGTCAGGTGCCTCCCCGGGCCCTTGAGGCCCCGGCCCACACCCCTCCGCTCCTAGGACCCTGGGTGAAAACCATCCATCCCCTGGATCAAGATCCCTCGGGATCTACCGGGTCCGGTCCAGTCTCCCGCCTCCAGATTGGGGTTCAAATCCGGCTCTACGTGTCACCACGAGCCTGCTCGCCCCCAGCCTCAGTTTCCTCAGCTTCAGAGCGGGGGACAGTGAGGGAATTTGAGGAGGAGGGTGTGGCGAGGCGGGGCACCTGGTACACTCTCCTCCCGCTGTGTCTCCCACCCCTTCCCGGTGCGAGGTTTGTTGATCGTGTGAATGAGAGGACGAATACGCAGTGGGTCTAGGACCGGAATCCGTCTGCCCTCCTTCTGGGGGTGGGGGACCCCGGGGCAGCACCCACCCGGGCTCCCTGCTCCTGCATAGCCCAGCTGCCCTTTGACCCTTAGGCGTGCAGGGGCCGGGCCGGGCTGTGGGAGACGGTACCCCAGCCCTTCCCAGGCAGCCACGTCAGTCGGCCACCTGGGCACCTGCCTGGGTTTCCCCGAAGTCCAGGTGAGGGGTGAGTTGTTGGGCACCCGAGTGACAGGACCCAAATGACAGGTGGCCACTGGGGGCCTGATTCATGGCTTTCTGGGAAGTGGGTTAACGGAATCCCAGGGCCCAGGGCCTGGTCAGGCCTCCTGGCTGAGTCACAGTGGCCCCTGGAGGAAGGAGCCGTTACTGAGCCTCTGGGCAGCCCCGTGTTCCCAAGGCCCCGGGACCTCCCCACGACCCCACACCCTAAGTCTTCCCTTCCCCACACAAACTGGGGACCATCCCAGTCAGTGTCAAGGCCACTGGCCTGCACCACTGGGCCTGGGTCCTGCTCCTCCAGAGGCCAGATTCTGGGCCCACAGCTGGAGCCCAGGTCCTGGGCCCCCAAACCAGTCCACTGCTGGTGGGGGGTGGTAGGGATCTCAGCCAGAGCCCCCACCTGGGCCCCCTTAACGGCCCATTTCCTCCCCACAGTCCCGCCCCACCTGTGACCTACAGCCTGGGGTGGCCAGACCGAGCCACTCACTCACTCGGGGGACTGGTCCAACGGCATTCCACCTCCCGGGATAAAACCTGGGGTGACCTGTGGGGAGCTCTGCACACAGCTCTCCCAGCCGCGCCCGCGCCCCCACCGGCCATGGTGGTTTCCAGAATTCCCCCGGCCCTGGGTGGAGGCTGTCTCAGGATCCTAACCCCTCTTCTGCTTCTGGCTTCTGCAGGTGAGTCCTGAGGCCCCTCTGCGCCTCCCTCCTCTGTCCCCCACGGCCACCCCCTCCCCTCCCCCTACTCAGCACTGGCCCTCCGGGCCCTGCCGGGACCCAGTCTCCCCCTCCCCCTCGTGCTCGCCTGCTCTCAGCCACGTCCGGTGGCTGCCAGCAGAGGACTGCAAGGAGGCTGCAGTCCACCGCCTCCTCTTCCCTCCCGGCTCTTGGGACCATGAGTGTCGTTACAGGCCTCAGGCTCGGGGGTTGAGAGGGTCTCGGGCCGGGGCAGGTGTGCGCTCCCCCTCTCTCACTCCCCCCCCCCCCCACCCCGTGAGAGGTGTCAGGCAGGTGGGATGGAGTCCTGGCTCAGGTTGCCCGACAGGAAGCTGGTGGGAGGTTAGGGCCCCGGCTTAGGGCCGAGCCTGAGGCTTCCGTCAGCCCTGCCCAGGCTCCGGGAAATGCCCCGCCCTGGAGAGACACCCCGGGCACCGGGGCTCCTCTCTGCTGGCCTGACCCTTCCTTCTCTTGCCCTCAGCCTCCCTCCGTGCTGCCAGGATACCTGGTGAGTTGGGGAGGGGGCCCTGGGGGAGGGCTTGAGGGGAGGGGCTGCATCTGGGTCTGTCTGTGGGGTAAGCAGATCAGAAGGGGGCGGTGGGGCCAGAGGGGAGTCCAGCGGGAGAGGAAGGCAGGCAGCAAAGAAGGCCCAGGAGGCAGAGCAGAGACTCTGACTCGGAGGGGAGGGGCCCAGGCAGCGGGGGGAGCACCAGCAGATGAGGGGAGACGGGTGGCCAGCTCGCGGGGAGGGACAGGAAGAGAAGGGCCGGGGAACGAATGGTGTGGGGCGTGGGCAGGGTAGGATCGTTGTGGCCCTTGGATGACAGAAAATGTGACCCTCGTCCGCCAGCACCCCCAGCTTGTGGGAAGCCCCAGCGGCTGAACAGGATCGTGGGCGGCGAGGACAGCACTGATGCCGAGTGGCCCTGGGTCGTGAGCATCCAGAAGAACGGAACCCACCACTGTGCAGGCTCCCTGCTCACCAGCCGCTGGGTGGTCACTGCTGCCCACTGCTTCAAGGGGTGTGCACGACCGGTCCCCTCCACTCGATGCCCCAGGTTTCCTGCCCCGGACCTGGGCTCCCCACTCGGCACCAGCCCCCGGGGCCTTTGTCTGGCCTTGGGGCCTCTCATAGAGGAGAGCGAGCCTGCTTCTGTTTCGGGGCCTTCAAACGCATGTGGTCCCCCAGACACTCCCTGCCTGACCCTTCCCCACCACCCCTGGTTCCTGGCTGACCCCACCCCCTTTCCTGTTTCCCCCAGCAACCTGAACAAGCCGTCCCAATTCTCTGTGCTGCTGGGGGCCTGGCAGCTGGAGAACCCTGGCCCCAGGTCCCAGCAGGTGGGTATCGCCTGGGTGCAGTCCCACCCCGTGTATTCCTGGAAAGAGGGCTCCCGTGCAGACATCGCCCTGGTGCGTCTGGAGCACGCCATCCACTTCTCTGAGCGAATCCTGCCCATCTGCCTGCCTGACTCCTCCGTCCGTCTCCCTCCGAACACCCGCTGCTGGATCGCAGGCTGGGGGAGTATCCGTGATGGAGGTGCGGCTTTTCCCCTGCCACGTGGCCAGGGGGTGGATGGGGACAGAGGGTGGCAGACGCTCAGAGACACAGGTACAGTGGGCAGCAGAGGTTGGAGCCAGAGGCATAGCAGAAGGAAAAAGACAGACTCTTCTTGTGACGACAGGGACGGAAGAAAAAGTGAGCCGCGATCCAGAGGTGTGAAGTCCCAGAAACCTAGGTGGCCAATTTTAGGTCCTTTCTAGTTAAAGGGTATCTTGGCTATGTTCTGAGGGAACAACAGCCAGATCAACGAGGCTATTAAGTGATCTAGGAAAGGCTGGAAGGAGGCCTGTATGGGGCCTGGTTGAGTACATGAATGTAAAACAGCCCTGAGATTCCAAAGTGGGAACAGGCACCCCCTGGTGGCAGCATGCCATAATTGCAGGCAAAATTCCCAGAAGGAAGTAGGCTCCATAATTGGACAATATAATTGTCAGACCAAGTCTGGAGGTCTGGAAAACATCATCTAGAGACACAAGACAGATAAAGTAAGAGGCAGAGAAGCAGAAAAAGGTAGGTGGGTAGATAGATAATGGGGGTGATAGAATAGAAAGATAACGAGTAAGCAAAAAGTGTCAGAAAAATGGGATTTTAACCAGATTCCAAAAGAAATCAAGGGAAATGACACCAGGTGTCTGGCAATCCCACTGAGTCTGAGGTTGCAGACAGCCTCCCCATCGTCATCCTGCAGGGCTCTTTTGAGAACTGGAGTTATGAGCTGGGGAGGGCCTACAGACCAACCCTAGGGCCTGCAGTCCCCCTAAGGTGTGGGGGATTCCTCGAGTTCCAGTAACGTTCAACATTAGGGGATCGTTTACTGCACCCTTCCTCTGTGGCAGTCCACTTCCTCTGCTGGAGACAGTAGTGGTTGGGGCAGGACAAGCCGGGACCAGCAGTTCTAACCGTTTTGTGGGCATCAGGGGACTCGTTAAAGGTTCAGAGTCTCACGCGGCTCATTCACGTTCGGACCCAGTAGGTCCAGAGGTGTGCAGTGTCGGAATTTGGGTTTTCCTCAGGCATTTGGGAGTCTGACGGAGTTGATCCATTAACCTTTGAGACTTGCCTCTGAGGGAGAACGGAGGGGCAGCAAAGAGAGGGCTTTCCAAGCCTGACCCTGTCCTCCCTGCCCCCAGTGCCCCTGCCCCACCCCCAGACCCTGCAGAAACTGGAGGTTCCCATCATAGACTCAGAAGTCTGCAGCCGCCTCTACTGGCGGGGCGCTGGGCAGGGAGCCATCACCGAGGACATGCTGTGTGCTGGCTATCTGGAGGGGCGGCGGGACGCCTGTCTGGTGAGCACCTGAGTTTTCCCACTTTTGTCCCGCTGAGCTCCACCGCTGCCCCCCCCCCCCCCATCAGCTGAGACCTGTAAGTGCCCCTAGACACCTGCAGAACCTGGCCTCTGCTTGGCTCAGTCATCCATCTGTTCGGCCACGTGGCCACGCACCAAATGTGTAGTGAGCATCTTGGGCGGGCCAGACCCCACTCTCTGGGAGCCTGCCTTCTCCTCAGGGGGTTCCCATGCCCTGGTCCCCACCAGCTCCATCACCATGGTGGAGGGCGGCAGGCTGGTAGAATGGTAGCACCCAGGCTTGGACGCTGGAGGGTCCTGGTTGCAATTCCTAGTCTGCTGCCCACGGATGCCAGTCTGGGCAAGCCAGGGCTTCCCTCTGAGCCTCGGTTTCCTCATCTGTAAGGCAAGCAACGGTACTCCCTGGCTTGGGGGCTGTGAGGGACAAGGTCTGGCACAAAGTGTTTCTCACCAGAAGCGAGCCTGAAGGCCTGTCCAGCTTAGCCCTCCCGGCCCTAGTGGAGTCACAGTACCATGGGGGGTGTGTGTGCCCCCTTGACCCTCACCCCAGGGAGCCGTCCGTCCCCCCACTGTGTAGGGTCCTGGGCTCTGCCCAGCCCTGACCCGCGTGGGTCCCTAACTTTCCGCCCTCTCCGCAGGGTGACTCCGGGGGCCCCCTGATGTGCCAGGTCGAGGGCACCTGGCTGCTGGCGGGCATCATCAGCTGGGGCGAGGGCTGTGCCGAGCGCAACCGGCCCGGCGTCTACATCAGCCTGGCCGCCCACCGCTCCTGGGTGATGAGAATCGTGCAAGGGGTGCAGCTCCGCGGGCACTCACAGGGGAGGGGGCCCGCAGGGGAAGGCGCGTCCTCCCCGAGGGGCCCGCGTTAGGGACCCGGGGAGACGCGGCGGCCACGCCGTTGTAAGTAAGCCATCCGCCTCCGGGGGGCGCCCGCGTGCCGGCACCGAGCGGCCTCGCAGCCCGCCCGCCAGCGCGAGCGCCTCTGTGTGTATGTATATACATGTTAATAATTTTTACAGTTATTTGTACCCCGCCCTCATATCTTATTTATTCCTCCAATTTCAATAAATTATTTATTCCCCCGTTGCTGCTTTCCTAGGCATGACATTGGGAAGCAGGGTACGCTTGGGGTTAAAATGGGGGCAGGTCGGGATGAGTTTGGTCGCCTGGCCAGGGACCCAGGTGTCCTGTCCACCTGCGTTTCAGTGTTCTGACCCCTGGCCTTTGCACTTCCTTTCTGTGCCCCCCTGCGACCAGGAAGAAAGGAGGCAGGAGGCCAGTGGACCGGCTCTGCCAGTGGAAAGGGGGAGTGCTGGCTGGGGGGCGGTCCAGGCCCCCAACCTGCCGGTTGTGTTTCCAAAACTGGGCTAGCTGGGAGAAGCCCGCCCCTATGAGAGTGGGATGTCCCCTCCCTCCCCTCAGAACCAGGCCTCCCGGATTTGGGGCCTCTACACCCCCAGGAGCTGGCTCCGGAGTGACTCAATGCCAATTCTGTGAGTCCTCCAACAAAGAAGGGAGCCAAACAATGAGACAGCAGGTCCCCAGGCCCTGCTACACCTCGGGCTTGAGTCACCTGGCCTGTGCCTACAGCAGGTGGGACCAAGTCCCAGGCTACAAAGGGATCTGCCCACTTCCCCGCTGGCTAACACCCCCTTCCTCCAGGACTGCCCTCCCCGCCCCTTCTGCAGCCCAGGCCCTAGCCTCCTGGACCAGCCCTCCATCCCACCCCCGGCCCCACATCTGGAGCCTGACCCAGCCCACCTGGGATTCCCTGCAGTGAGTGAGATATGCGGACCCGGGCTCTGTGGTTGACCTGAGACTGTGAATTTCACATAGTTCACACAGAGAGATTCATTCTAGGGTGCCTGGGTGGCTCAGTCAAGCGTCCGAATTCGGCTCAGGTCATGATCTCACGGTTGATGAGTTCAGGCCCTGCATCAGGCTCTCTGCTGTCAGCACAGAGCCCCCTTCCTATCCTCTGCCCCTCCCCCGCCTCAAAAATAAACGTTAGAAGAAAAACATTAATTCTAGAGTGAAGAGGTCCAGTCCTGCTATAGGAGAGATGATGGCGCTCTGCTTTCACCGTGTCTCCAACTGGAAACGCGACGTGAGTCTTCGAGAAGGCAGCGGCGGGCAGCGCGGGGTTTTGGCTTGCCTGCCGTTTGGTACCCTCGCACCCTTTGCTGGGAGGACATCTGCTCCTGTAGTTTGGTCGCCCTTCTGTCATGACCAGATCGCAGCGGATGCTGGGGGGTTGGTTTGATTAAAAACCAAACACTGAACGGGCCTCCTGCCCGCCTGGGAACCAGCATTTTCCTTCTGCCTGTTCCCACATCACAGGAAGTGAGCGGCCGACTCAGGTGAGCGCTGAATCCACATCCCGGCCCGCCCCCCCGGTCGCCCGGTGCCTGGCCCTCCCCCTGCCCTCAGCTCTCGCCTTCCGCCCCCTCCCCCATCCGCCCCCTCCCCCATCCGCCCCCAGGTTCTGCCCCTGCTTCTTCCCCCCATTGCTTCCCCTCCCTCCTCTGCCCCTTCCTGCCAACGGCTCTCTGCCCCTCAGTTTCTCCCCTGCCTGTGCATCTTTCACCCCGCCCTGTGCCCCCGTTCAGTGGTCAGAGGGTCCCCCTCACGTGTCATCCGATGGAAGCCGCACGGAGGAGATGCCTAGAAACACCTGCCGGGGTGGAGGAGCGGCCTCACAGGTGGCAGGACACCCGTGAGGGTGGGCTCTCGGGGGCTGAGCGATCGGCCTCCAGGCACCCGCGCCCCCTCCCCCCCCAGCCCAAAGGCACCTGCCAGCCTCCGGGAGGAGCCCGAGGGCAGGCCGGGCCCTGGCGTGGGGACCCACACGAGGCTGCCTGCTGCAGCACGTCCGGTGACCCCCTCCCTAGTCAGGATGGGGGGTCCCGGAGCTGCAAAGGTAGCCCCGCGCCGGCACGGTCCACACCAGGATCGCAGCGAAGCCCCTCGGCCCAGAAACACACCCCAAATCTGCGCCACTCTGGGTGGGGGAGAACCCACTGCTTTGTCTGCACCGGCACCGCCTGCCTCTGGGGGCCACAGACCGAGACCCTTGCAGCTGTCCCCTGAAGGGGACGTCCCAGGGGCCGGCGGCAAGGGGCCGGCACACCCACGTGCCCAGTGGACAGGTGTCCCCACCAGCTTTACCTCCCTCGTGGGACAGACCTTTGCGGAGCTCCCTTACCTCCCCAAGGGCAGAGGCGGGGCCGTCTGGCCACGGTGACAAATGTCATTCCAGCGGGAACTGTCTTCCCTGCAGGCTGTGCGGTCCCAGCGGCGCGTTCCTCCACATGCTCTGTCCTCAGACCTTTAACCCTTGAGGAGACGTCCGCCCCCACCCCCACCCCCCCGAACCTCACAGCTCTGCCCCGGCGCCCAGGACAAGCCGGCCAACGCACACCCCGCGACTTGCTGCCATGGCCAACGCCCCTCCCTGGTGCCCCCCACCTTGGAGACCGGAAGAGTCAGGCACCTGCTTCCACCAGCTCCCACAAGGTCACAAGAGCCCGTGGGACTGAGTGTTGGCCCGGGAGAGGGAAGCAGATGTCCGATGTTTTCTTGGGGAGACTGTCTTTTTCCCCATAAAAGGGACATACTCAGCTGGCATCCTTTCCCCTCTTCTTTCTTCTTCTAGTCTTGGATGTAAATGTGATGCTTAAGAGCCAGCAGCCACTTTAGCACCACAATGCTAAAAGCCGCTGTTATTTTTATAAAAAATGTAGGTATGCATTTTATGTCTTCTCCTTCCTCCCCCTCCCTTTTTTTAATTCATTTTTATTGTATTTTACAGTTGTATTATTGCATCTTATTAACGTGTGGGTTACGGTCTTTTTAAGGTTCCCAGACCCAATTCCAGCGTGGGAGGAGGGGTCCCCACAATGAACACTAGACGATCCCCAGATACGAGAGCGCCCAGAATTCTCCGTCCTGACACCGTCCACCCAGGGACAGCGACAGGGGCCACGGGTTAGGGGTTCAGCCCCACACGATCACCCCGCCCCACAGTGCTCCCAACCACAGGCCACAGAGAGGAGGGTCCTCCTCCACGGGCTCTTCCAGTTGGTTAGAGCGGCTCCCAGAAGTCAGGGAAACGTGCACGTTTACCACCTTTTGGATGGATACGACCATGTGCGCACGCAGGGTGGAGGGGCCGCCTGAGAGCCATGGAGAGAGAAGCCAGCCCCCCCCCCCCCCCCCCATCTGCGACTCCCAGCAGCCAGAACTGAGACGACAGGAGTGTTTGTCACCCTGTCCGTGGGGTTTGTGACAGCAGCATCGGTGGGAGGCGACCGGAGGCTCTAAGACACACTGCCCTGGGTGGCTTGACCTGCATTTCTTCCCCACCTGCTCGCCCGTGCTCGGGACGGTCTTGGGCGACGCCTGTCGTGATGTAATTATTGTTAAATAGAAAATCGCAAGTCCCAAATGGCGTCACTTAGGTCAAGTCTCCCACCTGGAGTCTGGGCCCTGACCTGGGTGCGCTTTCCAGCCTGTCCCGGAAACGAAACAAGGCCTGGTCGGCGCCAGTGAGGGCCTCTGCGCCCGGGCCTCGCCACCCACCTCAGACCCCCGCCCTGCCCCTACCTAAGGGAAAGCGGACTTGCCCGCCGCCATCTTTTCTTTTCTTTTGACGTTAACTCCTTGCCCACCCTCTCCTTCTTGTAAAAAAAACCTCCATTTTGTGCCACTCGGAGCTCCCCGCTGCCCGATCCTTGAATCGCTTAATAAAGCCTATCCGATCTTCAAATTTACTCGGTTGGATTTTGTTCCTTAACGTTATCGATACTCTCACAAGCGTCCCAAGAGTTGGGTGAGTGATGTAGCCCGCCCAACAGTGACTCCGCTAACCCAAGGGCCCCGGCCCCTCGAAGCCGCCTGATCTCTAATCTCTAGCTGCGCAGCCCGCGGTCGCCATGGACACCAGCTGGCCATTTCGGACTGGATCTCCCAGCCCTGGCCAGCAGCACGCCCGCCACCTGCCCCGCTCCCTGCCGATAACACAGGGACAGCCCACAGGAGCTGGCCGTGTCTCAGAAGCTGGCTCAGATTTGGGGCATGTGCGAACCCTCTGTGTCACAGTAAACTCCCTCGACCTTTTTGAGGCAAAGGGGACCTGCTTTCAGTCCACTTAGCCCACCGTGTCCCCCGGGTGCCTCCCCTCCTTAGAGGTGGCTGGAACATTCTATGGACAAAGGCTGAGAGGCCCGTCCAGGTTCAATGCCAAGAGCTCAGGGCTGACTGCAGCCGTCAGCCCTGGGCAGAGGGAGCGGACGGTGAGGGGCAGACCCCTCAATCCCGCGGCAGCTGTCCGTTAGGGGACAGACCAGCCCCGGGCAGCCTCCAGTTAACGCCTCGGGCAAGCTGACAGCAGCCTGCCGTCCAGAAGGCTTCCCGCCTCAGTCACACACACCCGGGATGCTCTGGAATGTCCCCTCGCCCTGTGGAGTGGCCCTCAGAGCCCCGCTGTCCCTCCCTGCCCCCACCCGTCTGCCTTCCCGGGGAAGGGGCTGCTGGGCCCTTCAGAGTCTGGGTCTCCTGGGGACTTCCTCTCTCACTAATCACCTCCCTGTGTTCTTGTGCTCAATCCTCCAGCTCCTCAGTCCACACGGGAACCCTTCCAGAAGGCAGTGAGGAGGAGACACAAAGGATTCAAAGGAAACAAAATCCCTCAATTACCTGGAGCGTTTGTGCTTAACATTTGACAATAACCACGATTCCCCCGTGAGCCAACCACCTGGGAGCCTCAACTCCACCCACCAGGCCCGAGGCCTCACCTCCCCGCCATGACCACCGCCCGGGGGTGCGGCGTGTGCGCACGTGTCCCTCACGTCCACCCGTGTCTGTGCGTGTGCACACCTGCGTGCGTGCTATTTGGAGCCCATTCGACTCCTGCATCCCCGCCCCTTAGAGGGAAGGAGCCTGAGCCAACAGCCAAGCGCGCAGGAAGGTTCTCCCGGCCGAACTTGACTGCAGCACAGACACAGGCCCCTTTGTCTTCTCTTTCTCTGGCCCCCAGAGGCGGTGTGTGGAGAGCTGTAGAAGCCTGACCTTTCTGATTATACAAC